GTCCTGCCGCTGGAGGTGTGGGTGGCGCTGGTGCTGTCGCTGAGGGTGGTGGTGCTGTCCCTGCTGAGTCTAGAGCTGCCGCGCGGCCTCGGCCGTACTTCGTTCCGCTCCTGCAGCAGGTTCTTGGTCTTTCTCCTCTAGTAGAGGGTCCACCGCCTGTCCAGTCGCAGTCCCTGCTGGAGCCTTCCTCTCCACTGCCTGCTCCCTCTCCTTACACTGGTCCTACTGGAGGTCTTGCTGAGCGTCGTGAGCCTGCGTCTCGTCCCGCGTCGCCTGTTCGTGCTGCTCGCGCTAGTGGTCGCAGTTCGCGTCAGCGTCCTCCTCCTGTCCCTGGCACGCACCGGATGTCTTTGCGTCCGTCCACTGCTCCTCTGCGTGCCCCTTTGCCTTCTCCTCCTGAGTCCTCTCTTCCTGCGCTTGCCGACCCTGAGTCGGACTCTCTTCGTGCTGCCAGTCCTACTGTCACGCGTCTGCTTGCTACTGTCGTCACTGACCCCTCTTTTGAGTCCACTGCTGCGTCTGCTCTAGTCGCTGAGCTCGTCGACTTTGCTGCTCGCTGTCGTCTCGACTACGCTGCTAGTCTTGTTGCTGAGTCTGCGTCTGTCTATCCTCCGTCCGTCGGGGGTGAGTGTGCTCTTGGCACGGACGTCCTAGAGGACAGGCAGGAGGAGTTACAGTGTCTAGCGGCTGCTTCACCTCATCTCGCGTCTGTACTGCTTGCCCCTGAGGGAGACCCGGATGCACTAGACATCCCGACTCCGCGTTCTTACGCGGAGGCCGTAGAGGGTCCCTACTCCTCTCAGTGGCAGGCAGCTATGGATGCAGAGATGGCTTCCTGGAAGTCCACAGGCACCTACGTTGACGCGGTTCCCCCTCCTGGGGCGAACATCGTCAGTGGCATGTGGATCTTCAGGGTGAAGCGGCCGCCGGGCTCTCCACCTGTCTTCAAGGCACGGTACGTTGCTCGTGGCTTCAGTCAGCGGCAGGGAGTTGACTACTTTCAGACCTTCTCTCCCACCCCGAAGATGACTACTCTTCGGGTGCTGCTGCACATAGCCGCTCAGCGCGACTACGAGTTTCACTCTCTCGACTTCAGCACTGCGTTCTTGCAGGGTAGCCTGCACGAGGAGATCTGGCTTCGCCGTCCACCTGGCTTCACTGGGACTTTCCCTCCTGGCACCCAGTGGAGCCTCCGACGGCCAGTCTACGGTCTCCGCCAGGCACCGCGTGAGTGGCACGACACACTGAGGACTACGCTTGCGGCTCTTGGGTTTGCTCCTTCTACTGCTGACCCGTCGCTGTTTCTTCGCACCGACACTTCCCTGCCGCCGTTTTACATCCTCGTGTACGTCGACGACTTGGTCTTTGCCACAGCGGACACTGCTGGACTCGCCTACGTGAAGTCCGAGCTGCTGAAGAGACACACGTGCACAGACCTGGGTGAACTGCGCAGCTACCTTGGCTTGCAGATCACTCGGGACAGAGCACGCCGCACCATTACCTTGACTCAGTCACACATGGTGCAGCAGGTCCTTCAGCGCTTCGGCTTCATGTACTCCTCGCCTCAGGCCACTCCTCTGCCTACTCGCCACTCACTCTCAGCTCTGCCTTCGGATGAGTCCGTAGAGTCGAGTGGTCCGTATGCAGAGCTTGTTGGCTGCCTCATGTACCTGATGACCTGCACACGACCTGACCTTGCATACCCTCTGAGCATTCTTGCACGCTATGTTGCTCCTGGGAGACACAGACCGGAGCACATGGCTGCAGCGAAGAGGGTATTGCGCTACCTGTGCAGTACGTCGGGCATGGGGCTAGTGCTTGGAGGGCGGAGTCCAGTGGTCCTTACCGGCCACGCGGACGCTTCTTGGGCTGACGACCAGGCTACGCAGCGGTCGTCACAGGGTTACACCTTCAGCCTTGGTTCCGGCTCTGTCTCGTGGCGGTCTACTCGCTCGTCTTCGGTTCTCGGCTCCAGTTGTGAGGCTGAGATCTACGCCGGGGCCATGGCTGCACAGGAGCTTCGCTGGCTCACCTACCTGCTGACTGACCTTGGAGAGCCGCCTCGTTCTCCTCCAGTGCTGTACGTAGACAACAAGGCCATGCTGGCCTTGTGTCGAGAGCAGCGCTTGGAGCACAGAACGAAGCACATTGCTCTCCGCTACTTCCTTGCTCGTGAGCTGCAGCAGCGTGGTCAGTTGCGACTTGCGTACGTGGCCTCTGAGGCCAACACTGCTGATGTGTTCACCAAGGCACTCGCGCCTTGTGACCATCAGCGCTTTTGCACCCAGCTGGGTCTTGTACCTGTCTTGCCTCACTTGCTCTCCTCTTGACTTCACTTGTACTGTGACATATATATATACCTGCTCTTGCTTGTCTAGTTTTATATATATGTCTGTACTCCTGCATGTGAACTGGCCTCTGGCCCTGCTCTTGTGCTCGGACTGTGTGGTGACTTTGTGATCCACCCTGAGCTTTCTTTGCTTTGCTTTGCTTGACTGGTCTTGTGACCCCTTGTTCTCTCCCACTTAGCCTATGGGGGTGTGTCAGAGTATTATAACTGATGCATGTTTGTAGGCTATAGTGGGGTAGCACATATGGGGTACAGGGTTTCTATGGTTGTATTTGTACCCAATCTTTCCTTAGTCATTCCCATTCCTGTTCATTCTTTTCACAACGAGTAGCCCAAGAACGAGACGGAGGAGAAGAGGACAAGGGCGGAGAACTGGGGAAAACAGCGGGGGAGGAGTCAGGAGGAGGAAACGTGGGACCGTAGACAGGAGGAGAGGCGGAGGAGGGAGGAGAAGGGGAGGGGAGACCAAGGATCCGAAGACCCGAGACAGGAGGAGGAAGTGGCTGCTGCTGCTGCGGCTGCGACTGCTGCTGCTGCGGACGCGGCTGCTGCTGGGACTGCTGCTCCTGTGGGTCCAGCTGCTGCTGCTGCTGCTGCTGCTCCTGCGGCTCCAGCTGCTGCTGCTGCTCCTCCAGCCGCTGTAACTCCCTCTCCTCTCTCTCCAACGCCAGCTGCTCGTCACGGGCACGGCGAACACGAGCCTGGTGCCTAGTCGGGTAGGGGTGGGGGGGTGGAGTAGTGTCCGAAGCAGCGGCAGCTCCAGAGTCCACCCCAGAAGAACTAGGCGACGCGACGGGGGGGAACGGGCGCGACGCGACGGGGGGGAACGGGCGCGACGCGACGGGGGGAACGGGCGCGACGCGACGGGGGGAACGGGCGCGACGCGACGGGAGGAACGGGCGCGACGCGACGGGGGGGAACGGGCGTGACGCGACGGGGGAGATGGCGCTAGGCTCGGTACTAGGCGCGGTAACTACGATACTGGTACGAACGAGAGGTAGGATCAGGCTCGGGAGGTACGAACGGAGAACGGAGGAACGGGATCCCACAGGATCCTAACCTAGCTGATACCATGTCAGAATGAGGAATGAATGTGGCATTGATGTTGGTTGGGGTACATATGACAAACCCTAACTTCTGTACCCCCTAAGACAAACCTCACTACAGGCTACAACATTTGACATATATGCATCCAGCTACCCCTCCAGAATGACCCCGTTCACACGAATAATGGTGCACCAATAATTACCCTCTACCCTCTAATAATGCTGACCTCCAATAATTCTGGCCTTACAATAATTGTAGGACCTGGAGACTTATAAAGAGGACTACACTAAAACCGAGCAGCACACTGGTATACAATATTCGTTATACTGTATTCGGATTTCCAACACTCCCTTTTGCTGTATGTTTTAGTGAATCCGTTTTCCTTGGAGGATGGGGTGGACGAGGTAGTGTACGACCACAAGGTAGGGGTGTGCCAAAACCAAGCTAGGGTTTGGTGTTGGCCAAGCTGCTTGTCATTGTAGCACCTTTCCCCTCCTAACCTTTGGGCCTTCCAAACTCCAACCAAACCACCTTCCTTCACGTTTTCCAATCTCTCCTTCCAATCTCGACATTATAGATCGAAATCTAGAAGGTAGTGGCTGCTGCTGAGGAAATCATAGCAGCTCCATGACGAAATCTCAAAACCAAGGCGGAATGCCCTTAGCGCACGCCGAATTTCCGAAACCGTAGGCTTTACGACACACGATTGTCACTACTACGGACTTTCCCGCACGCCTTCTGCGCTACAACGCGACGACCACACTTGACGCACGTTTGCGACGATCGCGGTTGCGGATGACGCGAATCGGTAGCGGATAACGCATGGCATACGACTGGCGCAAAACTGCATTGGCGGGCGCACACTTTGCGTGATAGAAGCGAGATAGCCGCCCCGCTGGCGGAGGTGGCGGCGGCGGAGGTGGAGCGGCGGCGGCGGAGGTAAATTGTGCTTATATGCTATGTTCTGGGACCATTTTGGACGCGTTGATGTCAGCATAAGCGGCATGTCAATACAGCGAATGTCAGTGTGGCGCGAAACAGGGTGTAAATCCTTCTGTTTTGACGCACGTGTTAGTTCACCCTGTATACACTAACTCACCATGTATCGACATACTAGACATGCCTATAATTTTTTATATGCATAAAGAACTTTGAACAGTTTCGAACAATATTCTCAGTATTTCTGGAGCACACAAACCTTGTACATTATTACGAACATCTGTAGGCTGGTGGCAATTTTGTTTTGCTATTGAGCGAGTCAAGTAGTCGTAAACAAGAATTTACGCGTGTAGTTGGAATTGCTGCTCCTCCTGCAGCATCTCCGGTGTTCTTCCGTTCTTCCCCAGCTGCTCCTGCAGCTCTTGCAGCGCCTGTTGGCGCTGCTTACATGCCTAGTGGTAGTGTCTGTATATTTTGTGCACACTAACCTTGTATATTATTATGAATATTTGTAAGCTGGTCACAGATTGTTGCTATTTGACAAGAATCCCTTCTACACAAGAATCCCTACAGAAGAGTCCACACGTTTTTATAAATGACCGTTGCCTTGTTCGATCCTAGGCATTAGATTCTTTCTTCACTGGTTGGTCTTACGGCTGGTATTTTAGGTATCACGGCTGAGATCCACGCCCCAAAGCAGCACCGATGTAGAGTGAGACTCGCTAAAGTCCGACAACCTGTAGTCTTGGAGTGGAGAACGCCCTTCCTTGGCTGTGTCACCCACCCCTGCTTCTGCGTTTCGTCCCACAGCTACTGCTGCTGAATCTGCTGCTGCTCTTGCAAGTGCCCCTGGACCTCCTGCAGCGGCTCCTGTGTTCTTCCATTCTTCTCCTGCTGCTCCTGCAGCACTTGCTGCGCCTGCTGGCGCTGCTTCTGTGCCCGCGTTTTTGCTTCTGGCGCCAGCAACAGAAGCCTCTGACATAGCGCCCCCTAAAGAACGAACCCCCAAATGGTTTCCTTCTTTCAGACTCACTGGTACTGCATCTGTCCCCATTATAAGCACATCCCGTACTGGTTCTTGCTTTACATTGAAATTAGAAGGGCGATGAGGGGTGAAAGGGGGCCAATGGACTGGTGTGAAAATATGTGAAGGGGAACTGTGACGAAGAGGAGGAGGATGAGGAAGAGAAGGAGGAAGAGTTGGTGGGGGCTGGAAATGCGGAGGCTCTAGCAAAGGAGAGCTTGTGCTATTGGCTGCAAGGATGTTGGGGGCAGGTGGGATGTCAGACAGAGGAGGGACGTCAGAGGGAGGAGGCACAAGGGAGCCAGGAGGCATGGTGGAAGGGGGAGACATGGCGGAAGTGGGAGGCATGGTGGAAGGGGGTAGCACGTTCGGGTGAGGAGTGTTGGAAGGGGGAGAACTGGAGGGGGGAGGGGGAATGGCGGAGGAGCGAGGCGGGCTGACGAGGGAGATGCGCTGGAAAGAGCTCAAGTCAGGCGAGAACGACGGCTGGTACCGGAAGCCCTTTTCACACTCACTTTCAGGAGAACGTGACGGCTGGTGCTGCTGGTAATAATTCCCACTCTTAGGGGAAAAAGAAAGTTGTTGCTGCCAGTGGTGACTCTTAGCACTCTCAGGGGACAAGAGCGCCACTGGGTTCCACTGACCTCTCCCGCTCTCAATGGTTGGGGGCGACATCGGCTTCTGCTGCTGCTGCTGCTGCTGCTGCTGCTGGAAATTTCCAATGCCCCGTGGGCTTTCCCCTGAACCCCCCTGCTCCTGCTGCATTTCTGCACCCGCACGAGTGCCAGCACTGCTAGGGCCTGTCAATTGAACCTGTGCCTGTGCCTGTGCCTGTGCCTGTGGACGAAGCAAGGAGGGCAGTGGCGCTTGTGCCTGGTGCTGCTGGATCAGTCCACTCTCTCTTAGCCCTGCTGCTGCCTCCTCCTGCTCCTGTTTCCCTTCCGCTGCACCACCACCAGCAGGGTGTGCAGATGGAATTAAGGGGGACAGCGGTGCAGGCGCCGGGTGCTGCTGGCTTGATCCACTCTCCCATAGCCCTGCCCCTGCCACCGCCCCCTCCTGCTTCACTGTGGCAGCACGAGCAGTGGGAACAAACCCTGTGGCACTCCCCCCCAAGGGAACCGCACCTAGCCAGTCGTCCGACATGCCTGCAACATCCCTGGGGCGTTTCCTGGGGGACGGCCCGGACGGGGCCGTGTGCCATCCGTGAGGGCTGCTGCCTGCGCCAGCAGCAGCGCCGGACTGCAAAGGCCCCCCATCTACAGCTCCACCTCCCAGGAATCCACTCCCCGAAGCTCCAATTCCCGAAGCTGCACTCCCCGAAGCTGCACCCGCCGAAGCTCCACCCTCAAGGGCTCTACCCTCAAGAACAGCATCCCGCCATTCAATGCTGTCACTCCCATTAGTGACACTCCTGCCCCACTTTAAGTTGATCGCCACTCGATCCCTTTGCACACCACCGCTGCCCACGCCTCCACTCCCCACACCTCCGCTCCCCACTCCACCACTCCCAACACCACCGCTTCCCACTCCACCGCTCCCCACACTACCGCTTCCCACATTAGCTCCCGTGCTCACTCGCCCAGAGCCACCTGCACCTACCACAGCAGCCATAGCAGAACGACCAGCCATGCCAACACGAGCCTCCATAGCATGTGTACCAGCCACACCATCCCCACCATCCCCACCATCCACCCAATCCCCACCATCCCGACCATCCATGCCACCCACACCACCCATACCATCCATACCAGCATCACTCGTAGCAGCCGCAGCAGACACACCGGCACGGCCATCCCTACAGTCCCCTCCCCCCACACGTGCACCTCTCCTCAGGGCAGCTTCCTGTGACTCCTCGTGCATATGTGAGGGATCAACCAGACGATAACCCATAAGATAACCAATAGAAGGGCCCAGCTTATGCTGCTCTCCCGCAGATGCATCATCTGAATCACCAATCATACCAGCACGGCCATAATTCTGGTCCTCTCCCCCCACACTCGCACTTCTCCTCAGGGCAGCTCGCTGTGACTCATTGGGCAACTGTGTGGGATCACCCAAAGGGTGTCCCATAGGACATCCCATAGCATGACCAATAGAAGGACCCATGTGATGCTGCTTCACATGCTGCTGAATTTGTTGTTCTTGTTGTTGTTGCTGCTGCTGCTGCTGGTTGTGCTTCTCATGAGAGGCCTCACGGCCCTGGGAAATCTCCTGAGACTTCACCTGCGCCAGAAGCGCCAGCAGAACAGCCTGGGAAATCTCCTGCCCCCGCAGCTGTAAGTCCGGAATGCTTCTTTGTGCCAAGTTATGATCAGGTTCAGAAGGCATCTGGGTCGGAACGTGCCGTTCCGAACCTGCAGTGTGTGAAGGTTCGGAAGAAAGGGACGGACGAGATGCGTTTAGATCTAGTAGAGATCGCAGGAGGTCAAAGCGAAGGGCTGTGTGGGGGGAATGTGTGGAAGGAGAAGATATGGAAGGGATTTGGCGCTCAGTAGCAGCAGCTGCTAATAGCTGTTTGTATTGCTGAATAGCAGCAGCTGTGATTTGTGATGTCTCGGATCCTGCTGCTGGCTGTTGGAGGCGCCGGACGGCAGCAGTTGTCTGGTGTGACGCCAAAGAGAGGAGATGGGCGGCAAGGATGGTGGAGGGTGTGACAGAAGGAAGCCTGGGGATGAGCGATTCGGCATCCAGCAGTGATAACGTGAGTGTGTTAAGAGCGTTCAGCGATGATACAGGTGGTTGAGTGGTGAGACTTGGAGGAGAAGCAGCACTTGCAGAGCTCGTTTGGTCTTCTTCCCTGCCAGCTGCAATCCCACTGCTGGGGGCAGGTAGGCGGGCAGAGTCGCATTCTCGCTTTATATTCACATTTGCTCCTGCTCCTGAGTGTTCTCTTGCTGAGAGTTGGTGCCAGAAGGAATCACTGCCTCTGGAGTCACTCCTACCTACCGCCTGCCTCTCCTCTCCCAATCCTTCCCACCCTCTCCCAAACCTCGCCCCTTCTAACCCTCTCCACACCTTTCCGAACCCCTCCCCTCTCACTTCTCCCATGCCCCCCCCTGCCTGCTCGCCTACCCTTCTAGCAGCCGCCGCCGCAGCAGCTGTAGCAGCTGCAAATGCTGCTATTGAGAGTGCTGATGCTTCCCCTCCCCCTCCCCCTCCCCTTCCCCCTCCTCCTCTCCCTCTCCCTCCCCCTCCCCCTCCCTCCTCCCTTCCGCCTCCACCCACCCCTCCTCCTCCTCTTCCTCCTCTCCCTGCTGCCAGTGCAGCCACCGCCGCCAGTGCTGCAGCAGCCGCAACTGCTGCTGTCGAATTCACCTGACCAGGCGCAAAGGACCCCTCTCCTCGCAGCGTCTCACTACGCCTTCTCTCACCAGCACCACCAGCACCAGCACCACCAGCACCAGCAACACCAGCACCAGCAACACCAGCACCAGCAGCAGCAGCACCAGCAGCAGCACCAGCAGCAGCAACACCAGCACCAGCAACACCAGCACCAGCAGCAGCAGCACCAGCAGCAGCACCAGCAGCAGCAGCAGCAGCACCAGCAGCAGCCGAGCCAAGCACTACTGCAGCTGAAGGCACCTGAGCAGGCCCCAAGGTCCCCTCTCCTCTCAGCTTCTTTCTACACCGCCCCTCACCACCAGCAGCAGATGAGCCAAGCACAGCAGCTTCAGCACCAGCACGAGAGGCTTGATGTGCCAGAGCAGCAGCTTCAATAGTGCTGGTAGTTGCTGCAGTGACTGACCCGGCAGCAGCGTGGGTCGTTCTAGCAGTTTCGGAACAGTCTGGAGCGCCAAAGGCACGAGCGGTAGGAGCAGAGACAGAGAGTATTGCTGAACGCGCAGCAATGGCAGACCGTGCAGCAACGGCAGAGTGTGCAGCAGCGTCAGCGGCATGGGCAGTATGTGCAGCATTCGCTGCCAGCACAGCAGATTCAGTGGCCTGAGAGCATCGCCACTTGTCGCGCCGGTGTTGGTCGAGAGTAGCGGCGGTGGGGAAGCTCTGCTTGCATAGCGCACAGTAGTGAGGGCCCTGGCCGTCAGACCGCAACCACTTAGCTAAAAGCCGGCTCATTCCAGGGGTCAGGGATGGGGACTGGGAGGAGGAGGGAGTGGAGGAGGAGGGGGCGGAAGAGGAGGAAGGAAGGGGAGGTGGGAGAGCAGGAGGGAGAGATGAGAGAGGTGCGGATGCGGAGGAGGGGGGTGCGGAGGAGGAGGGGGAGAGGACGAGGGGGGCGGACGGGGAAGGCGAAACGGGGAGGGAGGTGGTGGTGGTGATGGTGGCAGCAGGGGTTGCAGCAGTGGTGGCAGCACTTCTGGCATCACGTTTCACAGAACTTCTAGCTACAGGTCCGCTGACAAATGTTGCGCTGGTCTTCTTTCTCGCAGGGGCAGCAGGAAAACGGACAGCAGCACAAGACGAGCCACCTGAGAGTCGTCCCGAGCCCGAAAAATCAGGCGCTGCCATGTGTCGCGTGCGCTTCGGTGGTGACATCATCGCCACGTCATCACCACCACTGAGACTCTTACCACTGTGCGTAGCCGCTTCCCTTGATTTTGGATTCACCTCCAAATACCGAGCCTTAGACGGCTCAAGACCCCGAACTTTAGCCGACCCAAGACCCTGAACTTTAGCCGACCCAAGACCCCGAACTTTAGCCGACCCAAGACCCCCAACCTGAGTCGACTCAAGCCCAAGTACAAGAGTAGATATAGGACCCTTAGGCCGAGTCATTTCAAATTCCCCAGCCTGCTCTGCATGCTGAGAGCGTGCAAAGGGATGGCGGTAACCAGACTGCAAGGGATCATGTATTGGGGACCTCCCTGCCTCTTGCATCACCACTGTTGTGTTCTTCGCAGCACCGGCACCTGCAGCAGCACCAGCAGCAGCACCACCACCACCAGCTCCTGCAGAAGCCGCAGCGGACGCTGAAGCAGCAGAAGCAGAAACCGAAACACCCCTGCCACCACTGTCACTGGTAGCAATGGATCCAGCAGCCGCAGCTGCGCCTGCTGGGACGGCGAATTTTGACCTCATGCTGCTCGCCGCTTGGGGTTCTGTTGTTGCCGCTCCGGGATTAAACAAAGAATTCCCGCCAATGCCCGTGCTTGGCAGCGAGGTACTATGTGCTGGGATGTTATGGAAAGCAGGGCCTGCATTGGTGCTTTCAAAGCCTCCATGACTTGCGCTGACTGATGAGGGTGGCTTGGGTAACGATATAGCTCCATAGAGCTGTCTGGAAAAAACCGAAGCACCAGCAGCAGTGACCGAAGCAGTGGCATTAGGGGAAGCAGCAGCACGTGGAGCAGCAGCAGCAGAAGCAAGCCCAGAAGCATATTTCCCCATGAATTCAGCACCAGCATGGCTCCTAGCTGCAGCATATGCAACCATGGAAGCTTCCTCATGCGACTTCCACTCTCCACGGCGCAAAGGCTCCTTGGACGGGCCACCAGAGAGCACCATTACGTCATTTTCGAGGCCTGAAGAGGTAGTATGTTTTGCTCCCCATGATCCTGCTGCTGCTGTTGCTGCTGCTGCTGCTCCTGCCGCTGCTTCTTGATCCTGATCCTCAGGTCCATTTCTTCCTTCATCCTGACCACCGATTTCAAGATTTAGGTCCAGAAGGGGTAGATATTGCCTTATCAACGGCCCTGATTGCCCATTGTCTTCCTCCTGCTCCTCCTCTCCCCCTCCCCCCTCTTTCTCCTTTCCAGACGAGCCCAACTCGGGGTATACGACCCTTGAACCATCTTGTGACATGACGAGCTTTAACCAGAAACAGTTTGCTAGGTACGACTGAGCTAGTTGTTAATATCTGCATAATAGTTCCACAAAGTGGAGAGTCCTCGCATCCGTCGCACATTCTAATCCCTCTGTCATTCAAGACATCCTTAATCTGGATTAGAAAGCTAAGGGAGAAAAAAAATGCAACCAAAAAAGAAGAAGAAAAAAAACACTAGGAAAAGAGGGGGGGGAAAGGCTTCAAATCTGAAAGCTTGAGCTAATTTATGAGACCAAATGCAGAATAATTATCTTTCGTGCCATCAGATAGGCCTTGTCTGAAAAAGGAACACCGTTTACTTTCACAACTAAGGCAAACCTTCGAGCTCACACATTCATCGCAGATCAATCTGAAACGAAGTACTACGATGAGGTGCGACCGTGCGAGAAGGCCACCCACTCGCTCTAATATCAGCATACAAAGCAAAACAAAAGGATATAACAACGAACGTATGGTCCAGCATCTGCACAACACGACGAAACAGTGTGCGGTTGCTTTTTGTGTAGAACTACAGAAATGATCGTTCATTAATGTCAGAAGCTCCTAGTAGCTTCTTCTTTGTCCACTTCTCGTTGGAAATACACCCTGTTTCGCGCCTCATTGACATTCGATGTATTGACATGCCGCCTATTCTGACATCAACGCGTCCAAAACGGTCCCAGAACATTGCATATAAGCACAGTTTGCCGCACTCAACCGTACGTGATAGCAATGTTCTGTCATAAAACGTTTTGTATCGTTCAAATGGACTGCATTTGCCCGCCACCTACCTGGGGTTCGGCTGCAAGCACCAGCCCGCAAAATCCAAGCGCACGTTCGCACTGTAGCCCGGGCTCCCGATTGTCAGAACGTTGATAAACAGGGTGTAGACATTCACAGCACGCTGTGTTGACAGACAAGCCTCGTGTTGCAGGATTTGAGCAGACTCTGGTCTGGATTTGAGAAACCTGCTGGAAGCGACACTATATCCAGCTAGTCACGTGGGGATCCAGCTAAAAAATCTTACGAAAACAACAATACACTGTATGTATACACTATACAACAATTCTCGTGTTGCGGACTCCAGTGCGGCGGATTGTGTCACACCGCATTTTGACACACCTTTGTAGCTCCGGTGAGCTTGCTGCCAGCTCAGGTTCATTTGAGTTAACCCAAAAAACAAAGGGGGCGCCCCATCAGCACCAAAACCGCCCGCTGTGTCAGGTTGGGGCTCAATATTGGTACATACAAAACCCCTAAGATGGCCATCCTGACGGAACTAAAGATGGACTGCACCTGCTGGCACCTCTGGGATTGCAGCATGGAGAACATCACCAATAGGTGTACGACATCTCGCAGTCAGAACTGGATGCTAGGTTGGATCATCGGCAGCGATCGTCTGGATTTTATCCATGCTGTCGGGGAATCGACGACCTCAAGCGAACGGCGAACCTGACACCTCAGGAGACGAAATTGAGGATCGATCGGACGGCGACAGTGAGGTCCTTGAGAAAGGGGAGCTGGCATTGGCTGGGGCGGTGATGAACTCTGCCTCGCGATGGAGGGG